TTATAATTATCCAATGTTGCAAAGAATATATTTATTTTAAACCTATGTTCAAAATCCGAAAATATACAGGGTGAGTCGGGAGGAGCGCACCAAACTCTAGGAGTATATTATACAAGTGAAAATAATGTAAAAAAACTAATATGTTCTTATCCGATTTTCATTTGTTTTCAAGTTATGGCGTAATTAAAAATGTTCATCTAGCTTTAAACATCTGAATTTTAACATTATCAAAGTATGCCATATGTTCAAGGCTCAAAGGCATTTCATTATTCTGACGTTTTGATGAACTGTCAGTGTACCTTGAACAGTAACTGACCGTTTAATTTCGAATTTATGTGATTGTTAGTGTTGCAAAATGCCAGATACTTATTCAAATTTAGAATATGCAAATATGGTGTTTGTTTATGGTTTATGTAATGGAAATGCTACAGCTGCTGCTGAAGAATATCGTCAACGTTTTCCACGCCGAAGACATCCTGATAAAAACGTATTTATTAGAGTTTTTAACAAATTGTGCGAGACTGGTAAGCTTCCCAGTGCTTTCATAACATCTGAACCCGCTACTCGACAAGGTTTTGTAGAAGTAGAAAATATTCTGCATCTAGTAGAAGAAGATGCAACTACTAGCTCACGGAGAATTGCCACTCAATTGGGAATTCCACAAAAGAGAGTGATAAACACACTCCACGAGTAAGGCTTATATCCTTATCACGTACAGAGAGTACATCACCTACAACCACAGGATTACGCTAACCGTATGAAGTTTTGTCGGTGGATAAAAAATAATAATCATCGTATTGTATCGAGTATACTCTTTACGAATGAAGCTACATTTACCCGTGATGGCATTAATAATACTCGTAACTATCATGTATGGTCAGACGAAAATCCCCACGCAACAGTCGAAAGCAATTTTCAACATCGGTTTTCTGTAAACGTGTGGTGTGGTATGGTTGACAGTTATTTAATTGGCCCTTTCATTTTGGAGAATCGTCTCACAGGAGACAACTACCTCAATTTTTTACAAAATGAATTACAAGGCCTGCTAGAGGATGTTCCTATAAATATTAGAATGCAGATGTACTATCAGCACGATGAAGGTGCTGCACATGTCGCTCGTCAGGTCAAGCAACATTCAGACGAACGTTTTCCTAGGCATTGGATTGGCCGTGGAGGTCTTATTAATTGGCCTACAAGATCTCAAGGCCTCACACCATTAGATTTTTGTTTATGGGACTGGATGAAAAATGAAAGTAAAAGTGGACACACGGGATGCACTAATTAGACGAATTGAGAATACTGCAGTCCATATTAAAGAAGAAAGAAATGAATCAATTAGGAGAGCAACAAACGCTCTTCGTAGATGAAGCAGAAAATGTTTAGAAGTCAATGGCGGTATTTTTGAACATTTACTGAAAGGTATATACTTGTTCTAATTGAATAAAAACAGTGCAAGTTCTTTTATGGCTTTAATTGCGTCATTTAAGTTTAAATTATGAGCGGCACAATTCATATAAATGGCAGTGAGTTTAATGTAATTTATTCTTTTTTGAACTCCTGAGTATAAACCACTCATTACATTGGCCCCAATATATCCCTGTCCCCTACACTTACTTATATCTAATCCTAAGTAATTTAAGGTGTTCAAGATCACATGTGTTATTCCTTCAGCAGACTGACTCAACTTTAATTAATCCCAAAAAGCTTTCTTGGATAACTATAGTCTCTATTAAATCGTTTTGGCCTTTTATAAACTCAACATACCTCGCCACTATACTGAGCTGATCGACTTTAGTGATATTCTGGCTAGTATCTATTAAACTAGAATAAAACGGAGCTTTTTTCATTTTAGTACTTAGTATTTGGTATATTAAGTACTTGCTTTAAAATCGGATCATAAGTAAGTGTACCAAAGCAAGAAAATTTCCATTATCTAAATCTATATGGATGTCTTCCCTGTGTCCACGAAATGCTAACATACGTCTCACAAGTAACAAAGTTATGTTAAATAGACTATCTATGACTTGCCGACAAAACTTAGCTTCACGATTAAGGAAATCTGTATTTTCCCTGTCAATTGTACAATTTTTTTCCAGGAATCATATATAAAACAACACTTCAGATGGAACCGAGTTAAAAAATGTTCTTAAATTTTTGTTGATACACCCTGCCAGTCAGTAAGTCCCGATATCCATCCTGACCCTAATCTATGCTTAACAGTGCTAAACAGCCAACATGGCTGACAATAAGCAATATCTTTGTTTTTCAAATAACACCCAATTATTATTTTTAGCGTATCAATAACTTTCTGAAAAGGATCTTTGTTTTTGATCCTTCGGAAAAGGACCATTAGGCCTTGATAGTCCATAATCAATAATTAGCTTCCTTAGTTTATTACATTTTTAAAATGCACAAAATCAGTAGGATAGGTATTATTAACATTAAAAAGGGGAACCGAATTATTTTCTTCAACTCTGAAACCTCTATCATCAAACCTGGTGTGTCTGCTTTACTATCGATATCTTGTTGGGTAGTAGTAGTAGTAGTAGTAGTAGTATCTACAGTGTCTATGCTCATGGGATATGTTTTTATTACATTTTCATTAAGTTGTTCTTGTGATAATTGTAACTGAATATTAATATGAACACTCGCGCCACTCGTAAAGGGCGTCTGATGATCTACAACGTTTAAGATCGTTGCACTTGATGGTTTCAGATTAGGCAAAAGAAAGGCATAGATTTTGGGTAGTTTTTCATTTGCTTCATCCAACAATTTTCTTCTTCTTTTTTCGAAGCTCCATTTGTGAAACTTTTTTTGGGTCATTAGTGTTCATTTCTAAAGTAAAAATAAAAAAGACAAATAGCTAGGTATCAAGGTTTTCAATAAAATCTGCAATTTTAGAAAAACAGCGTACAGGAATTCTCAACTGACTGCTAACTATGTCTATTATTGTCTAGCTAAACTAGCTAAAGAAATTGACACGAATACATTATTATTAAAATATATATACTTAATAACTTACTCTGCTGATCTTTAACAACTGTTAACCACTAACCAGTAACAACACGCATCTTTAATGAGTATAAATTAGTAAACTACACTTTATACACAGATTCCAGAGTTGCAGCATTTTATAATGTTGTTACTACCCACATAGCACAAGGACGTCTTATAGACGTCTAAAAGACGTCCTTCAGGGACGTAAAGGACGTCCGAGGGACGTCCTCTTTTGGTACCGGGAGGTCAATCAGACGTTCAATGGACGTTCTAATGTCCCGTTTCCGTCCAGTTTAGGGATATCTCAAAAGGACGTCATGCGTCATAAGGACCTTTGCGGGACGTCCTAGGGACGTAAATCAGACGTCCGAGGGACTATATTTGACCATAATCCATAAATGGTAATAATAACAAAAATGTTAACAATAAAAGGGCTTTATTTAACAACTTTTATCCTGAAAAAACTAGCTAGAGTTAAACGTTTTCAGTTTACAAAAAAAAAAAAAAACAGGAATTAATTAAATTTAACACACAGCGCTGATAAGATGAAACCTTGGGTCCTACTTACAGCTTGGGTCGACATAACAGTTTGATCATTTTGTCAAAATTAGTTTTGTTCCAACTTTCCGCCATTAAGGTATTTTAATTCAGCCAGCGGTTACCGCCATTACTTATTCTCACCTACACACAAAACACTCACTTCACTTTACCACCAACATGAAAAAAAAAAAAAATAACAAATAACACAATAGAACCTTCTTTTTTCTTCGTTAATCTAATAACTCACTTATATAAGTTAATTATTTAATGCCGAAAATTGTAGCTCTTGTTGTCCATTTGAACATAAATAATAGGTTAGGTTTTCTGTCCTCATACTCTTGCAAAAACAAAACTTTTAATTTCAAAACCAACGATGCTAGTACATAGAAAGTCCCATAGACGTCCCATGGACGTCCAATTAACGTCCTGGACTCCGATCGAAAACTAAACGCTTTGTCGAAACGGGACCAAAATAGGACGTCCAGAGGACGTCCTTCAAAGGACGCCCTAGTATTCATGGTAATCGGAAGTCCAGTGGACGTCCTATTTAGGTACGGGACCAACCGAACCAACAAGGACCAAATCAGGACGTCCATGGGACGTACTGTGCTATCTGGGTATGTAGTTGCCACGTATGATTATTTTAAGCGACTTTTATCCTTTTATAAATGTTTTTTTTATTTTCTCTCTTCGCAACCGGTCGGCGGTCGTCCGCCAGGGGTCCTTTTCTCCTCTGTTCAACCGGTCGGCCGGGGGCTCTCAGTACCAGCGAACCCCCCTGCGTCGCGGGGGCTCTAGGGGGTGTAGCTACACCACTGAATAGATCGCAAACGATAAGAGAACTAAAGAAAAAATAGAGATCAAGAATAGAACAATGGACACTGTGCGTTTTTTTGGAATGGTCAACATAGTATCAACTTTCAATACTGTGTTGATAATAATAACCCTTTCCCGTCAGTTCATGTTCATGATAGAATTTAGTAAGATCTAACTCGAGTCTTCTTAAATTTATGATATCATTCGTCGAGAAATCTACAGAATTTTGAAAATAAAAGAGAATGATGTAAATTTTCAACCTTTGAAAAGTAAAAAGAACATTATTTTCCAAGCGACCAATTTTTGGGAACACTGTAAAGGCGCCATCTGCGCAGAACATCTAGAAACATTTTGTTCTTTAGATTAGTCAAAAGGGTTCTTTTTATGTATTATTATACGTTAATATAGTATACCTTATCTTTATCATTTTTATAAATACAACAGGGCCATCAGATATATTTATTTTACCCATCGTCGTAATATTTAGGACAGATTATAGTAATAACGTGTATTAAAATCATATTAGTTTTCTAGAGTTAACGAAGGTATTATGGATTTTCAAAAATGTATTGGTAATAAGGAAATCCCCGCGCAATCCTCCTTTTTCACTTAATTTAAAAATTGTTTCTAAAAGAAAAAACACGTACCTTTTGAGTTGCGACACGCAAAACAACGCTTCTTTATCATTCTGCACTCTATCGGTGAGAGTTCCAACCAACACTTCCAACTGTTTCAAAGCGGGTTTATCCAAAACCGTTAAGAGGGTCTTGTTATCGATCAGCCTTTGTTGAACTTCCTTGAGTTTGAGCGACAGGAGGCGCTGATGTGAGGCATCGACGGGTTTTTTGTTATCGGTCGATATTAGGTTGAGCTCGTCCAGTCGATGGAGGGCGCTTTTGTAGACGTCGACGTGGAGTTGTAGCTCGGTTTTTAGAGCTTGGTGAAGGTGGGTTAGGCCAGAGGCGTCTGGGGTTAGGCCATGACAACCTAGTCCTGAAATAAAAGTAGTTTGTTTAAAATTATGCTTTCATGTTTAAATACGGAATCTGACCAAATAGATGTCATCAGTAACATTACTATTTTTAATAGTAACCCTAAAATAATTTCACTGACGAATTTGATAGTATTGACATTTGACAATTTAAGTTGTCATAAAAGTCACTAAGAACAAAATGAACTGGAGTGGGTTGGAGTGGCCTGTCAATTGGATTGAGATGAGACTTTATGGGAGCAGCCATTTTATTTTTCACCTCATTAGGGAGTAATATAGTAAGCATTTTCTATTTCACTCTGAATGAACTGATCCATCGAATTGAGAACCATAAAATAAAAATGTGAAACAGAAAATGGTTATTATAAATACTCCCGAACGAGATGAACAATAAAATTGGCTGCATCCATAGAGTAAATCGAGATAGAATGAAGTAGAGACGACATGAACACTATTTTGCGATATGACAGATGGACGCACTTCCAGTGATGGAAAAAGTGTAATCAAAATGGCGACTTAAAGTCGTACTTTGATTTATTTGAAGTCAATAATTTTATATTTAAAGATTGACGGAAATGAAAATGTTTTTATATCATTTAAATGAAGCTATTTTAAAAAAATTACATTTATTCTCATCAAAACTGACTAGTTCAAACTGTTCGATTTTGACATATGAGGTAAAATTATAATGCAATGGTGTGGACATTTTAGCATCGTCAGAGCATCTCCCCTTTATTCTTTCTCAATTATAAAGTCCTATTGACAATATACACATTTGAATTTTACCCCTCTACAGTTCATTCATGAAGGAAGGATTGAGTTCATTGTAAGAACCAAGTATTTATTATATTATTTGTTTGTGAAGTGCTCTATTGCCAAATTTTAATTTGTTACGTCACTGCAGAACCTTTAAATATAATGTGTACAATATAATATGTACTAGAAGAGTGTACAGTGTTACACGAAGATTGTTTTTATTGATTTTAATTAAAACTAAAGGTTGGTGGAATCTAACAATTATGTATGGCATTTTAGAGAACGACAAATAATTAAAAATAACAGAATAAACAGAATTCAGCTGAATTTTTAATTTATTTTTAATTATCATTATAAAGGGGTGGGTGGCTCAATGGTAGAGTCTCTGCCTGTCGATCCAAGGGGCTCAGGTTCGAATCCCACCGTTGGCCGGGATTTTTTATTTAATTTAATTATTTAAAATTAATTTTGATGCCTTGGTAGGATTCCCCACTCGGCCATTCACTGTTGGGTTCTAATTTACAGTGCTGTTCCTAAAGTGGCACTGGGAAACAGTAACGAAGCCTACACAGAACACGAGGCTAATGGCCTTAGTAGTCGATGCCGATGACACCAAATTAAAAAAAAATAATTATCATTATAAAACAATAGGAAAATCGTTAAAGCAGTTGATTGCTATAGAAAAGTAATATAGGTTAAACTTATTAACTAGAAAATATTTAAAAAATTTAATAATAAAAAATACTTCTGTTGAACATTATGAAACTGGTTACGAAAAATTCATGATTTCACCATTTATGCAAAGAAAAACAAATAAAAATAGACCTTTTTTGGTTTTAAAATCAATATATACATTATTATTGAAAATTTATATCAAAGAAGTGCAGGATGACTTATAAAAATATAATTTGGTTAAACATAACCTAGTAATAATGTTGTTTTGGTGCTTATTTTCTATTATAAATGGACACAAAATAATTAAAACACAATACACGACAAAATAACTCAATTTCCTGAAGACTAAATAACTTTAACAAGCAATATAAACACACAAAAGTTGTTGGGAATAAATTAATATGATTTTCTATTTGTCAATAAAAATAATGAAATTATGCATATGCAACTAACAATACAAGAAAGTAATATTGGTTACCTAGATATCAGTATTTTTTTACCAAAACACTATTTTATAAATAATCTAGTCAAAATTAAAAAAAATATTGTATGTAACACGTTACGAAATGCAGATTTATGTAACTGGTTGCATAAATAGCTATTTTAATTCCTGACTTCGCCGATATGGGGCTTATCTTTTTTTTTAAATTCCATTACGTCAGAAAGTTTTATAGAAAAGAGAAATAGTTTATCTTATACTTCACAAAAAAAAATAATTTATCTTGATAAAAATTTCTGCACCACTTGAAAATCCATATTCAAGCATAAGCTTTTACTTGAAAATTCATAATCCACCATAAAATTTTATAGAATGTTAGGTAGTCTACTTACATTATTCAAATAAATTAAAAAATAATGATTTATAGTCCACAGACGTGCATTGTGAACATTGTGAAGTGTATTTCCTTTATTTTAAAACATTTTGGGACGCACGGTATATGTGCAAAATTTTGCTGAATCTTGACTACTCACTTAAAAACTTAAAAATTCAAGCCAATTTAGAAATATTATAATTATTTTCGAAAACTCTTAAATATTGTACATTTAATAAAATATTTAAAATGTCGTGATAAGTAAATATTTTAAACAATATGTACATATCAATATTTTATTATCATAAAAAAAAATATAAAAAAAAAAGTACAAAAAATAGGGGACACCCGGGTTTGAACCGGGGACCTCTCGATCTGCAGTCGAATGCTCTACCACTGAGCTATATCCCCATACTATTTAAGTTTGCAGTACAGAAATTAGAATCGTACATGCACACCTACGTGTATATTGTGTTATCTAACCAAGTGGTTCCATTCGACTGTAGTAGGTGGATGATTATGATTAATCTACTATTACATTGTTGAGTGAATAATTATGTGTAAGTATTTTAAAATTATTAAAGAGAAATTATTAATATTAAAATGAAAAAAAAAAAAAAAAATGTTAACGCTTTCGAAATTAACAATATTGAAGTATTAAGAAGAATTGAAGGGCTAAAAAAGTTTTAAAATAAACCAATGGTGGCACAAGAATAAAATAGCATATTTATGCCGCGTTTGAGAATCCACATCGGATGCATTTTTTACATCTCGAGCGTTTTTTTAACCACATCGGACACATCTGTCCCATTACATTTACGTATACTGAATCACGTGATCAAAGATTTTTTACATCTCAGATGCATCCGATGTGGATTCTCAAACGCGGCAATAGTATAAACAATTCATAGTACTTTTCGTACCGTTTCTCTTGACTTAGTGGGTAGTAAATTTAGAGAAACATTGTTGGCTTCCTTTTTGCAAGTTTGTAAATTCTTCGGCACGTTCTGAATGACTATTCAAGGGCAGAAAATGAGCTTTAGCAGCCCACGGCTATTATCTGCATGTACGAGCGAAGCGAAGCGAGGGTAGCTGATAGCTAAGGACTGCTAAAGCGTTTTTTGCATGTGTGACATACAATTGTTTTTCGCCTACCAAAAAAAAAAACAAAGAAAAGGAAAATATAACGAAAATCTTTGTACCTGCATTTACAATCTTTGATCTTTCAGAAAGATAGGCAAGTACTACATTTTCAGTTTGATTTTTTGCTTTTTTACTCTTTTTCCAGTTGTTAAACAATTCATAGTACTTTTCGTACCGTTGGCTTCCTCTTGCAAGTTTGGTGGAGTATTTATAAATTCTTCGTCACTGTCTGAATGACTATTCATGTTCACTAATAGACTTACACTGACGTTTAATAAAAATTTATGTGAAACGTCAAAGTATGCAAGTGACAGTCAAAGGTATCTAGATATCTAGTGAAAAACTACAAAATCGGGCTGTTATGAGTTTAGCAGCCCATGGGACGATATACGTTACTTTCGGTCATATTTTAGGGTTGATATGATTCATTTTCACATATGGTAGGCGAAAAACTATTAGGCATTCCAAATTGAATGGCTACCAGTGGGTTTTGACAGGTTATGATATGGCAAAATTATGGCAACCCTGTAGGCCTGGTGATTTAACAAGGTCAATGAAATAGATAGTTACATAGATTGATCATTCATATTTTTTAAAATAAACATAAGCTTATGCCTTGAAGTAAAAAGGTAGGTAATTATTTTTTTTACTATATTCAAAGGCTAAATATTGATTTGTAAACACATTTTGCAAAATCGACTCTGATAATGAGCACTTGGGAGGCAATATGGCCGCTTGTAAACGACCCGCTTTGAGCAATCTATATAACTATATCTGTATCATTGATCTTGTCAATGACAACATGCTCACAGGGTTGCCATATATAAATGTCAGTTCCCACTTGTCAGCAGTTTAACAGGTCGTTGGAATGCCTAATTAAGGACAGGCACAATCTTTATTAAAGTCAGTTCTAGAATGTAAGTGATTTGCGCATGCTCAGATATCAAAATAAGAGCGGCACTAATAGTGACTGACCATAAGTAAACTGGCAATAACTCTCTACTATTCAAAGTAGGCTTTTCGCTTCGAAATCAAACCGCAAAGTTGACGTTTTCCGCGAACTTACATTAAGTGACAGCTTTGTCGCTGGCCGAGTGACAAAATTGACAGCTTTGTTGCTCGCATATTTTTAATTAGGTATAAAATAATATTTCTTTTTAATAAATGATTTTCAAGTTATTTGTACGTAGTTACGTTTTTTTTGTTTTATTATCTAAGTTAACATGGATTATGAATACAACTGCTTTTTTTAAGATTAACGTAGGTATAGGCAACACATTATACTTAAGACAAATTTTCAGTTTTTATTTCTATTTCTTAAAAAATTATTAAAATCTTGTGTGCATTTTGATCGAAAAGTTCGTTGCCAACTTTCTGCCTCAAGCGATAAAATATTACTTTTCGCTCTTAATATACAAATAGCTATTATAAGGACGAATAGTTGAGTTTTCCGGGCATATGTTTTTTGTCCGAAAACCGACATTTTATGACACATTCGAATGAAAACTTAATTTTTAACTATATAAGTTTTATCCTATACAGGGTGATGTAATATTAGGTAATTCTTAAAAACCTATTTAGAAAAAGATGGCATGTTTACCAGAATTCAATATTTT